GGACAACTTTCTAATTTACAGTCATTAGCTACGACCAACAGGAAGTCAGTTATTTTTAGTTTGGATATGGATTCATGGAAAAACCATGCTGTGAATTAATGCATACTCCTCCTAGGAGAATCAGGCAATTCACACCAAGCTTTGTCAACATGATGCACAGATACTGAAGATGTTAAATTGAAAACGGATTTTGGATATCTTGAATGGTGTTGCCATGATGATTTATTAAATAACAGAAACAAGATAACAGTAATTTTCTTATATCTTTAAAGTGCATTATCCAAACTCTTCAAAACTTTTTTACATATGGAGAACAAGTCATTCTTAGGAAACATGCTAAGTGTCAATTTAATCATGCTCAGGGGCCACTAAAAAATTAAAACTATCACACATTACAGGTCATAGGTGAAGACTGTGATACCAAGGATGACCACCTGATGGAGACACAGGATTAAAATCATTTAACCCTCTCTGTGTATCGGAATGAAAAATAATGCACACAATTAGTTTATTATATGTACTGTACTGTCAGTATATGTTCACATAACATAATTATTGTAGAATGCTTATAGAGCATCAAATCTTTTTTTATTTTTAAAAGAAAAATAATTAAAAGTTGTATGTATACACTATACCCTCTCTCACTGATAGGATAAGAAAAATTTTAAGTCTGACACTTTACAGCTCAGTTCAATTAATTAGAATAAGAAACAAATACATAAAAATAAGTTAATGTGTACTTTACTGGTAATATATTTTTATATAATTATTTCACAAATGCTTATAGGTTAATAAAATAATTTTTAAAAATGGTTATAGATCAGAAAATGTGTTGGTAACAATTTACAATAAGGTCTCTTAGGTTAACATTACGTAATGCATTAACTAACATGAACTAACAATGAACAATATATTTTCTACAGCATTTATTAATCTTACTATTAATAAATAAAAATAGTCATGTTCATGTTAATTCACATTACATAAACTAATGTTAAAAGGTACAACTTTCAATTTTAATAATGTATTAATAATTTTGGACTTAATATTAATTAACATTAATAAATGCTGTTAATTCACAACTAACATAAACTAAGTTTGAACAATGTTTTTATTGTAATTGTTAGTAAAAAAAAATGTCATCTTAGTTTCTTACAGTAACTCATGTGCATTAACTAAACATTTTAATAAATAATGTAGTAGTCAA